ACTGAACTTACTTCAAAGGGACCTTTCCACTGCATAAGTAACTTGTTTTGGTCGGTAGGTAGCAGCACAAGCACTTTCTCACCTGGTTGAAACTTCCTAACTTTAGACTTGCGGTCGTAATAGTGCTTTCCTTTCTGCTGGGCTTTCTCCAATTCACTATGGGCGAGCTTAAGGGTATGTTCTAACTTCTCTCGCAACTCGAAAATTTACTGGTAACTGTTCTGGGTTTATGTAGCGATGCCACTGTCTTGGCTGCTCACTACACAGTCTCTTCAGCATAGACTTCATCGTTCCGTTGAACTTCTCCGTCAAACCGTTACACATCGGGTGATAGGGTGTTGTTGTTAGCTGTTTAATGCTTAGTAGTCGAGTAACTTCTCTCATGCAATCAGAAACAAACTGTGTGCCCAGATCACTCAAGATCTGTTCGGGTACTCCTAGACGGCTGAAGTTGTCCACCAATGCCTCTGCCACTGTCTCGTATCAATGTTCTTTAGTGGTACGGCCTCAGGGTAGCGAGTCGAAAAATCTACCAGCGTCTATATGTACCTGTGTCCTTCTTCACTCGGAGGACTGATAGGCCCAACAAGATCTATTGCTACTCTTTTAAAAGGTTTGTCAATTAGCGGCATCTTCTCTAACGGTATTTTCGGCACTGATCCCTTACCTACAATCTTCTGACAAACGCCACAGGACTTGAAATATCGAGTGACGTCACCTTGAATTCCAGGCCAATAAAATGCACTCTGGATCTTGTCTGTTGTTTTCGTTATGCCCATGTGACCGCCCATGATTGATCCGTGAGCTACTTCCATTATGGCGCGCCTCAACTTTTCAGGTACCATGACTCGTTAAAGCGGTTTACCACCATTCACATAAGGGTGTTTGTACAGACGGTACAGTACTCCACATTTTTCTTCAAATGAAATTTCTGCCTGACTCAACTTTTCAGGTACCATGGCTTGTTAAAGCGGTTTACCACCATTCACATAAGAGTGTTTGTACAGACTGTACAGTACTCCACATTTTTCTTCAAATGAAATCTCTGCCTGACCTTTTCCTAGTACATCGTCTCGATCCCAGTACTTGCGCATACTCTTATCTTCACGCTGCGTCTGCTTGAGCTTCTGTCTATCCACGATAGGGCTCTCACGGCTACTTGGAACCTTCAAGGCTGTGCGTTCATCGTTTTTCTTAGCTTGACTTCTTGTAGTCACTGCACAGGCCTCTTGCCAACTGGGCTCTGGATTTTGTGCGTCCCTGGCATCAGGTACGTTGCCAATAATTAGGTCTTAGATAGGATCTAAAAGGCACCGGCTTCTACGTGGCCCTTAAGATAAGGGGTATCAACATAAATTCGTGCTATGGGCACCTTCCTTGCAGTGTTGTCAATAAGCAACATAACGTTTAAGTCTCCGGTGAACTGATCCTCACCGACAAGGTCCTTTTGACTACGACTCCACTGCAACCAGTATCTCTTAAAACGTCGACAGTCTTCTCTCCAACTCTACCGTTTACAACAGGCATCCTACTTCTTACTCCAGTTAAGGGTTCAACACAGGCATTACTCAGCAACGGGACTTTCTTGCCACAGGCTAACAGAAGCTGATCATTTTGAATACACGACTTGACTTCCTCGGGGGTAGCGTTATGATCGGGTGACTTAACCAAACAGCCAGCACTAGCTTGACCACGTTGCACACGGTTACCATCCTTACCTTGGCCCCCTGACTTTCGTGCACCTGTTCGACAGTTCCTCGCTTCATGACCTTGCTTGCCACATAGGAAACACCTTTTAGCTAGAGTTGGGCAGTTAATAGCTTTGTGTCCGCGGGCATTACACTTGTAACACTGGAGGGCTGTTGCGTCACTCTGTGTAGTCTTTGTTTCCTCTACCTTGGGCTGTACTTGTGGCTTCTTGCTCGCAGAGCTGAACGGATGCTTTTCATGTGCTTCCAGGTATTGATCGGCGACCTTCGCTATCTGAGCAAGCGTTTCCAGGGCTATTTCACGAAGGTGAATGGCTAACTCTTTCGGACAAGAGTCAATAAACTGTTCTTTCACAGTTAAATCTTTCAGGCCTTCAAACGATTGTTCAGTGTGCGACAGCTCTAACCAACGCAACAAGTATCTATCCAGACTCACTATAAACTGTTCAGGACTCTCGTCAACTTCCGGCTTTGATGCTCTAAATTTACTACGATAGCCATCCTCCGTAAGGTAATATCTCTTCATCAAAGCTAACTTCATTCGGTCATAATCTTGGGCTGTTTCCTCAGATAATCGCGAATAAACCTCTAGAGCACGTCCGGACAAAAGAGCACTAAGTTTCGAAGCCCATCCTGTCTTCTCCCATTTAGCTGTAGTTTCGAATCTCTCAAATCGTTGTAGGTAAGCATCCAAGTCGTGCTTGCCATCAGCAAATCAGGGTAGCTTGGGTGCCTTGGCCCTATCCTCTCTCACTTCAGCACGTTCGGCGACGTTACGGCCTTGTGCTAGACGAGCGAGCTCTAGTTCATGCTCTCTCTTAGCGGCTTCAATAGCCTCTCTCTGTTTCAACAGGTCTGCTTCCAGCTCTAATTTTCTCACTTCGCGTTCTTGCCGCCTAGTTTCCCTTTCTTCGTCTTCCCTTCTACGCCTTTCCTCTTTCTTTTTTTCTTTTTTTCTTCTTTTCTTCTGTCTTCCTCAAGTATTCGACGTCTCTCTTCCTTTTCTTCTTCTAATTGCCTACGCTTTTCTTCTTTCTCTTCCTCTTCCCTCCTTCTTTCTTCCTCAAGTTTTCGACGTTTTTCTTCTTTTTCCTCTACTAACTTTTTTTTTTTTTTTTACAAACTCAATTTTTTTTTTTTTTTCTTTCCGTACTTTTTCCTCCACTATTCGACTTCTCTCTTCCTTTTTTTCTTCTAGTTTCCTATGCTTTTCTTCTTTCTCTTCCTCTTCCTTCCCTCTTTCTTCCCCAGTTTTTTGTCGTTTTTCTTTTTTTTCCCCTACTAACTTTTTTTTTTTTTTTTACAAACTCAAGCAGCATTTCTCCCTCCAATCCGACTTCTTTCTCTATCTGCAAAAGCTTTTCCATTTCCACAGCAGTAGTTCACAGCAAACACATTCGATATACTTCCTCGTGATAGTTTTTCTTACTTCTCTGTATACTCCTTTTTCTTGAACTTTCCTTTCCTGGTTACTGTGGTCGGCAAACAATTGAATTCCTCTCCTAGGACAGGCCACCAATGTTACGCGGGTAATCTTTTAGAGAAGGGGTAGCTTGCAAACTAAACTGAACGCAGGGTTGTCGGAACAACAACAAGAAGATGTATTCCAATAATGAACGTGGTTTCCACGAAGTAAAACTCCACAACAGCGCGCAACTCGATAAACTTACACGGCCTCCGCCAGCTTGAATTAACACTGCTTCCGTCACACTTGACTAAACACGACTAACGCCAAACTCTCTTCGCTTGTGAAAACTAGTTAAAACTTAAGTCGGACTCGCCTACTTATATACTTTTACAATAATAATCTAGAACTTTCCAAATAGTCTAATTATAGAAAGATTACAAAATATACTGCTTTAGAAACGCTTACACGAGATCCTAAAATAAACAAACTATGAACTCTCGCGAAGCTTCTAGTAAGTCACGCTAGTCACGCAATACAATTTTTCGTAACACCCGTGAAATGGTTTTGTTTCAGATAAGGTCATCGTCATTCATCTTGGTGTTCAAACCATCCAGTCAGTCAACACCCAGTCATATGAGAACAGCGGGCTGCCAAAAGGCTGTTAAACTTACGTCACGAACCATTTTTTTCTCTTCAGCATTATGTAAATTAAATTCAACCAAATGTTAGCCCGAGGATGTAGGGATGGCAAAGTTGGCCTTTGTCCAGTACCGTGGTTAGGTTATAGTATCATCGTCAACTTGACATTGTACGTTCACTAACCATGTAGTACAAGAGTATTTGAAATTCCCTTGATAACTCACTACATGTAATCAGCCCTACCCCGAACTTGGACGGACCATTTTTACCTCAACAGGCATAAGGAAGAATTTTCATACCCCTCTCCTTTCATTTTAATAGAGTAAACTTTCCCTAAATTTCAATTATTATTATTATTATTATTATTATTATTGATAGTGGTAAGTTTTGTTTATTACGTAGGGGTGTGGTAGATTTATTTTTCGCAAAAAGGTCAACGTAAGAGTACAAATTGTTTGAACTAAAATTAGACACGTTAAACATGCATGAGCTGTTTTGAATCCTTCAATGTAACTGTATCAGCAGCAATCTACCCTTTTGTTCCTAGATTTAGACTGGCTTATTATTGGGCTGCCGGTGGCTCCCAATTTAAAAATGGGGCACCTTTAAAAGTAATGAGGGGAGGGTGGGTCATTTCAAAACAAAAAGTCTTGCAAGCTGACTTGAACTAAACAATAATATTCTTGCGTGAAAATATTAGTCCGTTATTTAAGCCTAAAAAAGTAGGGGAAAAATCCAATGCTATGATTAGTTATTGGGTACAATTTTTTAATCATCTCAGGTTCGTTTGATCGAGTTCTGAAGTCAGGGAGCACTTGTGAGCACACTAGGGAATCTATTTGACACAATGACTCTTTCTACACCAGTTTTTTTTTTAAGGCCTCATATATATAAAGAAAACGTGTCCCAGGTAGAAGGGTCACCCTCGCAACTGAGTCAATTTTAACAAGCGTTCTTATGAAAAAAAAAAAAAAAGTTGATCTCTTTACCCAAGCCAACGGCACTCATGCATGTACTGCACGTAATCTGACTGACTAAAACAACGCTCGCGCATGCTTGATTGTCTCAACTTGACCGAGTTGACCTGGCAGGGAGAGTAAAAGAGTTTATATCGAGGAAAGGAGGGTAGCCTTAGCTGTCGTCGTTGTTATGCCACGTGGCTTTGACATAAGAAATCGTCTTTATTATTTCTCAGGTTGCTCCGCTGTGAAGGCAAGTTGTTGGATCACGACGGGCCTGTCGGTAACGGTTCTTACATCTGGAGGGTCGAAAACTATAGACAGTGTCGGCAGAGGGCCATTGATGGAGTGATGACTGCATTACACAGCCCTGCTTTCTATATCAGCCGGTACGGATATAGATTATGCATAAGGATGCACTTAAACGGCGTAGGCAGTGGCGTGGGACAACACGTGGCATTGTTTGTCCATATGATGCAGGGAGTTTATGATAACATCCTGGATTGGCCCTTTACAGGAAGAATTGCGCTTTCCATCTTGGATCAGTCTGACGCGTCGGAGGTTCGTCATCACATTAGCCAGACCTTTGTCGCAAGACCAAATCTACTGGCCTTCCAGAGGCCCACAGCACCGCGTAACTATGAAGGATACGGTTTCGTCGAATTTGCTCCTATTGAGCAGATTCGTGAAGGGCAATACGTTAAAAACAATACTATGCTGGTGCGCATTCAAGTTCTTCATGAATCTTGAAAATACAAGTTTGTCAAGTTTGAAACAAAACGTGTTTTGGAGCAATCGCAATCTTTCGTCAGTTGTGAATGTTGCCAGGCCACAGAGCAGTATATTAACACAGGTAATTACTAGGAGTAATCGGAGCTTAGGAGAGTGCGTTCGATATGTTTGTTAGGCGTACAGGTAGCAGTTGAGGGGGAAGGGTAGATGGTTGTTAGGATAGATAAATATGATTATAACATATTTTGAACGTAATGGTAGACTGCAAAACAGTCCGTATTTTTGCGTATTCAAGTACGCGCGAGCAGTCAAACAAAAGGTCTGAACGAGGTTGAAAACAGAGAGCGAGACTGGGCGGAGACGCTAAAAAATTTTTTCTCTCGCTTCGCGTGCGTAAGACTCTTACGCCACGCTTCACCGATTTCTTTACTGATTTTGAGAAAAAAAACCCGACTGTTTTGCAGTCTAGAAGGCTAGTGATCGGCGTGATTGTTAAAGGTGAACCGTGACCCACCTAAAGAGGCTTTCCAAAGGATCTTAACAGAGTGTAACAAGAAAGGGTGCGGTTATGAGAAATTCACTCCGATTGCGCGGATTGATCAAGGGTAATACGTCAAAAGGAATACCATGATTGGTCGCATTCAGATTTACCAGTACCTTGGTTGAAGATACATACCGTTATTAAACTGCCGCTTATAAGCCCTGGGCTTATGGACTTATAATCGGCAAGGCTTATTACCGGAATTGAAAAAGCTATAGCAGTGATCATCAAAATACGTTCTGTATTTACTGGTTTTTAATCAAGCTGGTAAACGTCATAATAAATCGAATTCATCTACAAGCTAGCCTGAGTATCAGGCGTTTCTGGGGAAAAGGGGAAAGATAGGAAGGCCTGATACTCAGGCTATCTACAAGCTAGAGGGGGACTTATCTTCAGGGGGAGTCAAAATCATATATAGAGCTTATAAGTGGCAGTTTACTGTATCTCTTCACACAATTGACGGAATATGTTCCAGTTATGTTGGTGGCACTTTTTAAAAGTGATTCAACACTAAAAAAAGTGCGGTATATAATATAGAGTTGTTTTCCAATCGTTTCGGGCCTGGGTCGGGTTGCCAAAAAAATCTTTAGATTAATAGAACTCGTAACTATTATTTCAAAACAATAGGTTATACAAACCTAGCCCGGTTCGTTCTAACATACTGTGTTGAATTTCATACAATGATATTAGGCCCAGAGACCCGTTTCCTGAAAGTCCCGGTACCCTTTCGAGCCCGGAAGGCTTTGTTTTGTTTGCCGGGTTTATGTTCAAGATCACACTTTCAATAATTTTGGAAATGATACAATGAAACTATCAGTTAACGAAGTAAAATTGGCTGGTTTGTATGCTAGGAACTGTGCTACTATAATAATTCAAAAGGAGAAACGGGCCCCAGTTTAGAAAAAAACTCTATATAACACACGGTACATTTGATCATGTTTTTAATACTTTTTGATGAACATTTCCTTGATTTACATATCTCTTCCCTTTTTCCCCTCTACTATCAAGAAATAAACTGTCATTAACGTAGAAACGTCGGTGAGTAAGATTAAGGCCACCCCTTTTTTTCTCCTTTTTAGCGTCGTCCGACCCGCGACCCACATTTTTGGCTTTTAAAAAAACAAAAAAGGAACGACGTCGTGAAACCTTTTTTGACTTATTAATTAATTCTTTTAATATGAAAAATGAACATTGTATAAACAGCATTTTCAGGCTTAGAGGTTTCGGTGGTTTGTCCTTTTTTCTTTCAACTATAACATCGACCATCATATTTTCCGCCATATTGAGTTTGTGTCGATTTGGTGACCATCTCTTGGTGTTTCCGGCCTCCACGGCAATGATGGTGGCCTTTTAGGCCTCTCTCTCTCTGTCTTCTAGAGATTTAGTTACGTTTTTTTTTTTTCATCCAACCGACCCAAAATCAGTTCCCCCCTCGACCAAAGGCCTATTCACAGTCTAACGCATTCGACGCGAAACTAAAAACGAAAGAAAGGGGTGGCCTAATGTATAAACTGATAGACTTTCTAAAAGTCTTTTGTTTTTTTCCTGGTTGGTTATACCACTTTAAGACCTCGCGACTTCGCCGCTCGCTCTTTCGCTGAGCGATCTCCCAGTAAAGAACTTATGGGAGTTCATCCAGGGTCACCCAACAACGGTTACGTCCTTCACACACACAAAACACTTTTTAGGCTATCCAGAGTACTTTTAGATCTCTAGAATTGCATTCTCAGTGATGCTATAAAATTTTTAACTTTTTGGCTGCCCTAGGGGAACCTGAGTCTTTTCAGTCTCACTCAACAAGGGCTTCAGTATTATTTTCCCGAAAATTTTAGATTCAATTTAATGTATTACGAAGTTGAGAATTTTTCTGATTCCTCCCTCTGATCACATTTTTGAATCCGAAAATTTTAGGTTTCCCTTTTTGGACGAAAAATAGCCTATCCTGGGCAGTGAAATGTGAAAAATTAACTTCAGAAAAGTGTAGGGAATTTATTAGATAAGCTTCCAAAATTGTTCATGAATGGAATGGTCATCTAGAAATTTTAAGCCGTCCTGAAGTAATAGAGAATTCTAGGCCATATTTGCCTCTCCGAACAGATATTTTACCGAAAACAGTCGTTGGGTGCCCCTGCCTTCACTTGTACCAAGTCTAGTGTAAACAGTAAAGCTTTGGTACATGCGCGGCGGCCGGAATTTTTCTCAATCTTGGGTATTAATACATCACTTCAAGAGAGTTAGATTAAAATTAATTTAACTCCTTACTTTGGGGTTGAAATGACTTCATTTGGAGAATGAACTCCATTCTCCTAAAAGAGGTTGCGTGATAAAAAGTCAGTTTTACCAACAATAATCAACCACGGAACTGATATTGAAGTTACTATAATGTAATAAAGCACTATTTAAACTTACCTGACCTCTCAGGAAACAGCCCTCAACTTTATGAATGTCCTTGGTCTTTTTGCCAAAACACTTGAGAATCTTTTATTTTCAAAAAACGTTGTGATCGGATTGGTAGCCGCACTGTAACCTATGCCTGACACTAAAATAGCTGGACAAACCTTCATGTGAGACCACGGGTGCTTTCCATTATACCGGACCGACCAATCAGAAACCACTCGGACTAACCAAGGGAAAATGGAACGCGTCCGAACCAAAAGTCCGAGCGAATTGATTGTTGGGTAATGTGTGACTTCCCAAATTCGTTTTTGAACTTCGTGTAGTTTGCAATGAGTAAACGGACGTGTTTGTCCGCCCATCTTCCCAGGGCTTCGGTCGAACTAGTGGAGGTTGTTGGAATGAGCTGTGGATTTTTTTCGCACTGTCTGCCAAAGCCGTAAGGGCTAGGGTCACTTACTGCTAAGAGAAAAACGCGGGAAAACATTAGGAGAAGCCAGTAACATATTTGTCTTTAAAAACTGACGAAAACCGGTAGAAAAAACAAATTAAGATGCACCGCCGTACCTGAGCCTTGTGTGCAACTGTGCATAAGGAAAAAGTTTACGTCTCGCTTCTGAAGCTTACACACACTGCACTCGTAAACTCATCCTCGGAGACCCAGGGGCAGATAGTGGGGACGAGGGAAAGTCTAAACGGGCGGGAAAATATGGCACGAAGAAAAGTAAAGAACGGCGAGAAGAGCCCCTGGGGACAATGTCTTACCAGACCAGTTCCAAACGGTCGCCGCCGTTCTGGCTTCTGATTGGTAGCAGAAAACAAATGTGCTTTCTTTTATGTATGGTTTTCTTTATTTGTGCTCACTAGGGGCATAGGTCGACGACCGAACATTGTAATATTTTTCAATGGTTGGCAAAACAAAACTTTCAAACTCTCCAGCAAATACTTTCACAACGGCAGACTGATCAATTTATCTGTTGATTTCTTCCGCAAAACGTCAAGTTTTCCTGTTATTTTTTAACCGTGCAGATGCTAAGTAAGGACAAAAAAGTACGAGCTTGAAGAAATACAAATTTTTCCTCCCTGTTAACTAAATTTGCATCACTGTTACATGTAAATTGCAGGTGGTATTCACCAACTGCAAAATACCGAAACCTTGAAGAAGACTAAACGATAAACCATCGGACTATTTAGCTTTTCACCGTATGGATAATATTTCGTCTATTATGAAATCGCCTACATAAATACATTCGAACTCGGCAATCGAACTCCAGGTTTATCACCTGATCACATGTTATCATAATTTCTGTATCATGTCGCTGCCTTCCAGGCAACAAAACTTTCCTCTTCAGGTAAAACGCATTTGTCGGGAATCTAGCTACGTTACACTTATGTCCTTTAGTGCTAAGCTTTCCTTGCAAGCCAGATTTTTCTCTCACTGTTTCGGATCCCACGGCAGAACTCTCAATTGTTTTTGCAACCCTTTACGTACTGCGAGGCGATACGTCACGCGATTAGTGTAGAATCATGACAGGTCGAATCATGACCGTCGAATCGTGTCTGAAAATCCCGGTGTATAAATAGCAATGAAATCAGCTGTAATTGATAGATTTTCGCAGTTGTTACGATGTGAAGTCGTGTTGCACTTCATAAATACTTGAGATATGAAGTATCCACTGTCACGTAATTTTTACGTGCGCACGTGCGTAAAATTTGCGTTCGCAAATAAAATAAAGGCAATGTATGAAAGGCTGCACGTACAATTATGTAAGCGTAAAAGTAGAAACTCGCTTAATTTGACGTTTAATCTCAATACTTTATGTCTTACCTCTATTTGATTTACGTGATTAAAATTTACGTGCGTTAA